ATTAAAAGATTAATTCAATATTTTTGGATTTGGTCTCATCATTTGTATGGTCCTAGTGCGTTATGGATAATCGGTTCATGTATTTAATTCATGCTGTGTGATCCTCTATTGGGCCATGACGGATCCTCTCGCTGTAAGCTGCCCTCTGGGTTCATACAAATTATGAGACAGCAAAAACCAAACAAAAAGATATTGAATAAGAGCGGATCCTTCATGATTATATAAAGACTTAAACTAAGGCAAGTATGTGGGCAATCTTCAGTGCCTTGGGCTCAGTTACAGATGTAAGAGGTGTAACTGAGAAGGTGTTGGGGGCTGATTCATGCATTCAATTTAGTTACTTCTTCCTGATTTCAAACTGACCAATGATAATGAATCAACAAATCCACTCCACCAGAATTTTATTCCTAGGAGTATGGGGACACTTAACTGAATAAATTGAATTGGGAAATTCCATATAATACGAAGAAATGTTGGGCTTGGGTGAGGGGGTCATTTGGGAACTTGGACCTCAGTATTTCTAACATCCTGGCTACAATACTGTTTGTTGCCCTTTAATGTTCAATAGGTTTGGCTTCCCAGCATACCGGGGTGCAACAAAAGGTGGTGGAAAGGTAGCCCAGAAACTATTTTCTGTCTATCTGCCTATTTCAGGTGTTTTGGCAGAATGCCTCCCTACAGGCCTCTCCACTCAGATGTGTCCAGGTTACTGCAGGATCACGGCACTGTGGAAGGCTTAAGGGCCCTAAAAATTTGTGTCTTTTCTCCATAGTAGTGTCTGGGATCAAACTGGTTCATAGTTGTCACCGCACATTCACTTGACTTCAGTTTGGCTTTGCACCAAAATGAGCCACAGTTATGACACTCATTTATGTGTGTGAGGTTATCTCATATTAGAAATCCACAGCCCTTTGACTGACACAAGTGAAATAGTAACATAAAGGACAAATGTTTCTGTGTCGAAAAAAAAATCAAAATGCTTCAAGATTGAGAGACTGATTGCGCTTTTCTCTTTGAGCTGTCTTTTATCTTTTGAGTCTCTACATCATTGTCAGTCCCCTGCAGTAGAAATTCCATTGTGGGGACTCAATGACCCACACTGTCCAGACATTGTCAGAAATGATGTCCATGATTAACAGCCAGGTGCAGGGCCGAGCACAGATGTTATATTTTACTTCTGGGTTGGAGCGGGCGAGTATGAAAAGCGACAGCAGGATAATACAAAGCTGTCGAAGTTTAAAAGGCTTTTCTCTGGTGAGAGGACGAACCTATTAGCACAGGGTTTGTAATTGCTTTTTTTCTGTGACAAGTACTTGGAGGTGACAGGTGTTGATTTTAGTGTTGTTTGTCTGACAAAAGACTGACAAAAAGCTGATATAGCCAAGGGGAAGAATTCTGACAACATTCTGGCATTTTGTGCCTAGTGGTGTCATCAGGATCTCCCAGTTACAGCCACACAATGCTGTATGTGCAACTCTTATTTGTCAAAGGTGAATAATTGCTTGTTTTAAAAAAACATTTCTATCTGTGATAGAAATGGCTACATGGCATTAACCCTGTGGAGGTTTCAGTTTTCACTGTAAACAAAAGAAACTTGCATTGTTTACATTGTTGCAGTCTTCTTTTTCTCCTTCCTTAATGGCACATTGCAGATATTTACATTACCAAACATTACTGTCCTCTACAGTCTAGTGTAGCGATGTAGTGTCTTTTAGCTCATTGTCTTACTTTTTATGGCCCACGGGCTCAATTGTTTTGGATTACTCTCACCACTCTCATGGTGTTGTTTTTAATCAACACACAGCTATTATTTGCTGTGAAAAAGCTCTGATCAATCAACCATATGCTACTTGCCAAACAGCAGGCAGACAAAGTTAGTGACTAGCTGGTGTACATAGTGGAACCTTTAGCAACTCAACAGCCAAATATTTACAGACCAGAAAAGATCTATATTCCTATTTTTTGCAGACTACTGTATGTATATGAAACACATTAGTTATCATTTTTTATAAAAGGAAGTTTGCTTTCTTTAAAAGTCATTTAGTTTTTAAATGTTGTACAGCAACCTCTACTGAAAGAACAATAACATTACCGATGATCCTCTACACTTATTGGCTGGCACTATAGCTGACCTCATCATCCTTTGACATGTTGTATCAGAAACTTTACACAATGTGTATAATTTGTTGTCCATTTGTGAAATCATAGGAATGAGCAGTTGATTGAACTGTGCCTTTTCATCACACAAAATGTGATGATTTAACATCTAACACACTGACAGAATCCAACCTAAGGCCAGATTTTATTTTTCTCAATAGATTAGCTTCAAGACTGCTTGCTTTACATCGTGGCTGTGTTTTGTTCTTTTACCACGGTGTCAGCACTTGAGAACTCAAGAGTTCTTTTCTCCTCTCATACCCCAGCAACGTGCCAATGGTGAACATGAAAAAAACTCCTCCATGCAGAGACTAGTTAAGATGCTGATGCTTGTGTTGTGTTGAAAATAAGAAATCTCAAGAAAACCGGGAGGTCTTCATTTTGTCCACAGCACATGCAAAGAAGGCAGCGTAGGTGGAGTGGTGTAAATGATTTATTTTTTTATATCTATTGTTAATTCTTTACAAGGGTATAATATAGGAAGGTCTTCACACCCCTGCAACCTCATTTGATTGGCTTACAGTTAGCAGAGTATGTCACAGAAGTCAGCACGGACAAAGCAACCAGGCAAAAAACAAATATGGCTTTGGATGACTGACTCAAAGAAGAGATTAGTGGGCTTTCTTTTTCAGCCACCCCCAACTGAAGCAAGTCTTCTCCACAAAACATCTTAGAAATCATTAGACTAACAGAGGCGGCGTGGGCATTAGGAGTCCCTGTGGAGCTAAAATGACATGTGTACTTATTTAAGGTATTACCACCCTTAGTGGTGCTGATTTTCCTTTGAAAGGAGCTGCTAATGACCGTCAAATAACCTGTTTTGTAAACATTGCAATTATTTACTGTGGGGTTAAATTAAAAAGCATAATCATTTCTTCTCTGGTCGATGGTACTCTGTGGTTTAGAGGCACTGTTTTTAGAAGACAGCTCCTGTATTGTTTCTGTTTCTAACCTACTTTTAGTAGTACTTTAATAGTCCATGCAGATAGCTTTGATTTTATTTATTACTGACTGTAAACAAACCTGGTTGTTTACAATAAAACAACACAGGGTAGCTTTAATTAACTATCTCCTACCACCATTAGTACACGAGAGGGAGGGGAATTATCTGTGATGCCAGAACTGACTTTACAGGTTTTCCACATCTTTCTGTTGTTAGGGGGCTCACTGCTATACTTCCACGCGTTGTCTAAAATCATGAAAATAGGCTATGCTGTGCAGCACAATTAACAAAATATAATATAATAGAATATTTGATTACATTCTAAACAAATCAAAAGGGAGCGATCATGTGTGCCTTTAAGTAATCAGGTGTGGATAAGCACGTTCCAATACAATACAACACAATAGGCAATAGCAAATACCATTCTGCCATACAAGATTAAATATAAATATTACATATACACAAGACAATGAGATACAGTTCATATCAGAGTGCAAACACTGGCTATTCCATTCAGTATGACAGTAGATCCAGAATATACATTTTCAATAGATAAATACAAAAATACACTGTTGCCCATAGAGTTGGAATAATATTGTTTTCAGACACATTCCTCTTTTTATTCCTATTTATACACATCAGTAATCACCTTTGACCAGGTGCAATGATTACATACTGAGTCCCAGTTACCCAAGTGAAACTAATTCAATTCAAACGATTGTTTGGCACTATAAAAGGCAAGGCATTCGCTGTGTTGTTCTTTTCCTGCTTTAAGTCTGTATGCAGTAAGTCCACGTTTTCAGAATTAGCTGTATAATTTTCAACCAAATTTGACAGAAAAGTTCCCTAGGCTATGCCTTGTCCGACGCAACTGGCAATACAAAGAGGGCTTGCACTCCGACAGGACGGACACAAACAAGCCAACATTGCTGATTTCCTTGGAATATCTCAGAGTGCGGTCTGTAAAATCCTCAAACATCATTGAGAGGAGGGTCATTTGAGGCCACGAAAATATCCAGGACGACCATGACTAACTACCAGTCGAGATGATCGGCAACTGCCTGTGCTGTAAAAATTGGAAAAGGCCAGCAAGCCGCCTTTGTCGTTTGTGGATAAGACACAATGGAATCAATGTTTCCTGCCAAACTGTAAATCGAAGATTGCTTCGGCATGGTTACCGAGCAAGACGAATGACCAAGTGTGCACGCCTAACTGTTCAACACAGAGTTGCTCGACTTCGCTGGGCTAGGGAGCACAGAACACAGTCATGTACCGGGACATCCTGGAGAACCATTGCCTCCCACTCGCAAGAAGGGTATAAGGAAACAACTTCAGGCTGCAAGACGACAACACAAGAGCACATAGTGCAGCTGTAGTGAGAGAATATCTTGATGCAGAGGAGGGGGAGAAGATGCCATGGCCTGCTTGCTCCCCTGATATGAACCCTATCGAGCATGCCTGGGATGCCTTAGGCCGAGCCCTTAATGAGAGGGACAATATTCCTCAGAGTCTACAGGAATTAGCCTGGGATCTGTCCGAAGTGTGGGATGCCCTGCACATTGACGTCTTAACGCATTGATGGCCATACTCAATATTAGTGACTAAGTGACATTTGAAAGAGTAATATTGGACATTCTTATGCATGAAATCCCCTCAAATGTGTTTCCTGTTAAATTGATCAAGGCTGGAAAATGTAAAAAAAGCCCTTAAAGAAGCATTTCACCCATGGAAACATTAATCTT